TGGTAGAATCCCTGAGCATACAATCTATTCATTCAATAGAGATGGGCTGAATCAATGCAAATGCAGATTTTCCATTCAATAGAGAAAGGCAGAATCACTAAAATTGCAGTTTATTTACCACAAACTGGCAGAATCACTGATAATGCACCCTATCTGTTCAAAAGAGAACTGTGTCATGGCTGTGTATACATCCTATCCATTCACTAGAGACTGGCTACATGTTTGCATGTTTGCATCCATTCATTACATGCATGCATGCAAGAAGATCTTGCTGCTCATCAACTAAGGTAGCATTCACAACTTCCATAGATTCAAGGGCCTAGAATCTACTTAGAAAAAGGTAATTTGACCTTTAACTACAAAAAGCAACTGCTCTCAAAAAGGCATTGCAATCTGCTAAGGCCAACAACAATATTACCTGCTATTAGAAGACCTGAGATCTTGCTATTTTGGGGTATTCTGTGCCCCTAACCCTCTCTCCAGAGTTTATTGAGAAAATAAAACCAGGTTAAAGTGACTGGTGCCTAACTTTCTTTCTACCCCACAATAATTCAAGGATTCTGCCCTAAAAGTTAAATTCTAGTCTGCCACATAATTTTGGGGGTGATCCTAAACTCATAGAAAGGAGGAGTGATACACATCTTTAACAAAAAAAAAGGGTGGCATACAGTATGGTATGAGAAATTACATAATATGATATTGGGAAGATTAACCCTTATTTTCTATTCTGTCTGGCATGTGCCAAATAGACAAAATCTCCCCAACTGGGACACAGCAATAAAATGGGATGTAGTTACCAACCCTTTACTACTATTTTGAAAAAGAAAATATTTGGCTGAAGTTTGTCATCTTATCTAAATACCAATGAAGGTACAATGGTGTCAGTTTATGTACTAATAAGGTAGAAACTGTTATATAATTGCTGGATAACTGGCTCCACATTTGCCTCTGCTGGCTGACTTGCATTTCTCTACCCACATTCCAAAGTGGCAAATGGATGTATTTTGCAATTTTGCTACCAAACGTATTTACTTATGAACTTTGGACCTTTACACAGTTTACTTTACATTTTAGAGCATGTCAGTAATATATGATATATGGCATTCTCCGTATACCCAGTCTTCATGACGCAATTTACATAATTTCGTATAGAGTAAGCCCCTATTTTGCGACTCTAGGAAGGGAACCTCTACACTAGACCCGTGAAGCTCTAAAGCTTACAAAATTATATTTTATCTAGAACACCAGAAGTGTTTCACTTTCAGATCACAGCTGAAAATAATTTTGCATATCAAGCTGAAGTGTTGTAAATGAATACAGTCATAGAAACGGGTTTATGATTTGTTTAGCTTTCCATAGCTGTACCTGCCTAGCAGCAATGTTACCTAGAGGGAGACTATCTTAATATGTAAGCAGTTATGACTTTCCTGTGACAGGGTTTTATGGTTACAGATCCTGTCTCTATTGATGCAAAAACACTACATAGTTACATAGTTAGTCAGGTTGAAAAATGACACAAGTCCATTGAGTTCAACCAATAGAGATAAGCAAAATCTTTTTCTATCTTTATTTTTAATGTGGACTGATAACAGTTCTACTTTAAATTAATGGCTAGAGTATTATACCTTTGCAGTATTTAGTTAAGTGAAATTCACAGAGGTTTGAGTCATCATTCAATGAGGGCCAGTTTAATGAGTCCTTATTGTGTCTCACCACATGAAAAAATTACACTAGCACTACTTTAACCCCTTCACGACTTGAGACGGACACTGTACATCTCCATCGTAAAGTGCTCCAATGACTGCTCACGTACACTGTACGTGAGCAGCTATTCAGGGTTTTGTAATGCCGGTAACCACTGACAATCAGCGGTTACCGTTCATTAATGGACAGTATTCTATTGAGGCATCCATTAATTAAATAGTTAAGCCTTTGGAAAAGCTTCTTTCTTTCATTAATGAAAGAAAGAAGCTGTTACAAATACAAGCGATCCAGCATTTGACAGGTGAAAGAACAGAAGCAGAACATGACTCATCACTTTGCTATTTCACTTTTGACAGCTCTATAGACATCGGGCAAGTCCCGATGTTTACAGGCTTTGTAAAGATACATTCTTCACGAAACAATACATTTCAGCAATAAGAAACAATGTATTTATTTTGCTTAAATGTATCAAACTTCTGATCGTCTGAGGACCATCGGAAGCCTAGTGAGATCTAATCCTGTCATGCTGTCAGGATAAGTGTCACTAAGATGTATTATTGGCTGTTCTGAAGTTTGGGGCAGCCTAATAATAACCAAAAATTAAAAAAATTAAATTAGCAATTAGTCATAGTGACTGCTTGATGTAATAGACAAACAAATTGTAAAGTGTAATAAAAAAAATGTAAATATATTTTTATGCTATAATTATTATAAAAAATTAACCTCTTACAATGAAAATCTGCAGCTGGGCTGCCGATTTGTTATTCACCCTAAGGGGGTTAATTTTTTTTCATTTTACCCCCTCATGATGTGATTGCTCAAAGTATGTCTCTGTTCCTAAGTGTGACAGTTTGTGACACCTAATGACAGTGACATTGTAGGCCACCTAACTAAACCATTATTCGTTTTTAGAGAATTAAATAAAATGTTGGCTTTTATTTTTAGGCTGGAAAGTGCAGAAACATTTCTGAAATCCTAGGGATTTGAGGTGCTTCCAAATAAAGGACAAATAAACATATTTATTGTAATGCCTTTTTTTTAGCATTGCTATTTTTAAAAAAAATCCTCTTTTTGTTTTTATATGTTATTCATTCCAAGTGAAGAGTTAGTCACACATATGTGATATAAATATATAGCTATGGCGCCATAGCCCGCATGGGATCGCAAGGCACATTGTGCCTACAGTGTGTTCGGGTGCAGTGCGATCAAAATAGTGCTTGCAGCACCGCACCCAAACGCACTGCAGGCACAATGTGCCTTGCAATCCCGTGCGGGCGATCGCATTGCGGCCGGAGAGCATGGCTACAGCGCCATTCACTTCAATGGCCGGCCAGGCCACCTCCTGCCCGGCCAAAAAGTGAGTCGGCCGCAATCCGATGCAGTGCGTTCTGGCCAGAACGCACTGCAAGTGGTGTGCAGGAGCAGCCGTTTTCTTGGTATAACCACTTCCAGCGCAGGACGTACATTTCAACCCGCAGGAAGTGGTTAAAAAAAACCACACACACGTAATGAAACATACATATTACACACTCATTAAAAACACAGACACACACAGCTTCATTAATGGAAAACAAAAATCACACACACACAATAAAAACACACACACAAATAACAATTGTTAATTAAAAAATGTCCCCCTCCCCTGCTTACCTGTTTTGCAGGAAGGGGGGCTGCATTCCTGGGGTCCAGTGTGGCACTTGGATTATCATAATGGTCGAGTGGAGGATCAGTGTGATGATTGTGATCTGCATCTCAGGCTGATGCAGACCATACTAATTGATCCCTGCCAATCAGCGGCGGCACCACGAGGGATCGATCAGTATGATCTGCATCAGCAAGAGATGCAGGTCATACTGATTCCCCGCTGGACCTGATTTTCATTTAATATATTGCCGTTTCGGCAATATATTAAATGTGTGGGCACTTGCCAGGTTTAAAGATGGCCATCTTTAAAAACGTAATGTACAGTCAGTCACAGAGAGGGGGACACCGGAGGCCCGCACAGAGAACACCAGCTGAGGATCTCGAGTGTGCGGGCCCCCGGCTTCCTCCGGTGCTGCGGGGCCCGGGCGGCCGCCTAAACCTACTGCCAGTCAACTGTACGGCTGACGGCCGATATTCATGTAAGGTTCAAGGGCCCCTTACTTGAATATCGGCCGTACCCCCTTGACGGTGGCCCTGTGTGTGGGTGCACTTAGTAAGAAAGTATATTACTGCCATGGAAGAATCACACAGCAAAAATGTAAAAAGTGCTTCAGTCATTTCCGAACAGAAACTGAAAAAAAGCTCATTCATGAAGGGGTTAAGACAGTGCAGCACACCGCAACACACAGGGGAACATTTATCAACTAAATTAGTGCCAAAATTAGACACAATTTAGGCTGCCTCTCAATTTGCAAAGTCCGTGCAACTGTTTTTTTTTTGCGTATTTGTGACTTGTGTATCTGTAATCCTGGGCACTTGAGAGGGATTTATTAAGATGACACAGATTGTCACTTTAAACAGATAAGCAATGGGGGTAATTTATCAAAATTGGAGCAATTTGCTTTTTTTTACGCCGCCCTAAACTGTGAGCCTGATTTACTGAGTGAGTAATGAACGTACACTCGTGTCGTTCTTGTGTTAATAATTGCTACAATTCTCCGTGTGGAAATGAAATTGGATAATGAAGTGACTGCATGATTTATTGAAATGACATGCTTTAGTAACGTTCCCTCAGTTACCTATTTTTTATTATATCATATACATTTAGTAAAATCTAAAATGTGTTTTTAACACACATATTTTACAAATACTGCATGTGAGTAGAACACATATACTATATTTTAGATAAAAAGAACCTCATACATTATCTGCCACATTTGGCAGGAACTATACAATGCTGTTTGTTAAACAAAAGAACAAAAATTGTTTTGATGAGGCATATTAATGAAGCCCTTAAAGGTTAATCTGCCTATATTTTGCCTTCCCTGGTTTCTGCTTTTCCTCCATCAGCATGTTTAAACAACTTTTTGATTTTCCTTACAAACCTTATTTTAGATGCAGTAATATAATCAATGCTCTGATCATGACTGGAGGGAGGGGAGGGCACGGTGCTGTACATAGCTTCCTGAAATCATCACAGTCCCCTGCCTTAGTACTCCTCTCAAGAGCTCTCAGTCCTGCGCAAGCAGTGGGCTGGATCCTAGGAGGAATTATGCATGTATCAAAATGCAAACAATTTTTCATATACTGCATGTCATAAGATTCTATGCTAAACAAATATTAACATATATTTTTCTTTGTTTTTAACGTAGGATCTTCAGACCTGGGTGGATGGTGTAGATGACAATGGATTTGTTCTAGTCTCTTTTGGAGCAGGGGTAAAATATTTGTCTGAAGATATTGCCCAAAAACTTGCAGGTGCACTAGCTAAATTACAACAAAAAGTTATTTGGAGGTAAGCTATTTTAGTATATCTAAAGGCAAAACATTTTGTTGTTGTTTTGGACAACGTGGGGAAGTGTTAGAACTTCCCAAACAAAAATTTTATTGTTTTTGCTGAGGAGATTCACCCCTTCTGTTTGTACTGGTGACCATTGTCGCTGTGACCGAAAGAGAAAAAAAATATTATAACATTTTTAGTTGCCATCAGAAAAGTAAAGAGAGGGAAATCTTCTTTCTTTTGGGGCACTTGTTCCAGTGACAACTGCCTAAGAGGATATTTACCTAGGTTTGGGAGATTACCTCTCACTTCTTGTGGTGTCTACAAAACAGGAAAGTAAAGCAATATCTATTAAACAGGACACAGATGGTAAAAGAAAAAACAAGGGTTTTAACTATGCCCTGTTCTATCCAAAATGGGAAAAGGTTTGGCTTTAGAAAGAATTTAATCAATAATGACTTACAGTCATGACTGCACATCGTTTTTGTATGTGGTTGGGTTATATCTGTTTAATGTATAATATATAAATTACATCACAATTGCGTATTACGTATGTGGCACTTTACAAGACACATCTGTGTTTGAGTTGAGTTATTTTTTTTTTCATACTTTTGCAAATTGATTTGGACTGATATGAAATGGACAAGGAGAGGGGTAAACAATGTTAATTTGGGAATACTGGGGAGAAGGTTACTTGCAATTTAGGGGAAGACAATTGATTCCCATTCTCTGGTCAATCCATAACCTCAGTCCTGTGCACCTGAAAAATAAGTAATTGTATAAAAAAATAAACTAGTGTTAATAAAAAATACCTCTCCCATTTAACATATAAAAGGTTTTTTTTTGTTATAGGAATTAAAGTGACTCTTTCTGGGCTTCCAATCACAGCATACATGAATCCCGTAGAGGTTCATTATAGAAAACAGCATGAGATTAAGAAAGATTTCTACTCTCCAATTCCTGTGTTGTCATTTAATAGAAAATATTTTAGTGAAATAGTTAAATTACATTTGTACTCTATTTTGATGGAAACTTTACACATATTTTAGTGCCACACAAACTGGTATTTATATAGCAGAATGCCTGAACATTTGCTGCTTTTCATATGGGAATACTATCCTGTCTACTTCGTATGTCAGACTGGTTACATCTGCTCTGAGTCACCTTTTCTTTTTTTTGCTTTTGTTTATTTCATGCATACATTAGAAAGTGAGTTGGGATTTAATATACATATGTTGCTCAGTAGTGAACATAATGTACTATACATGGTCTTTTCTCCATAAACCCAAATAGAAAAATCTGTATGTACAGTAGGTGAACTTCATATATGCAAGTAAGACAGCTATAGGGTCTATGAACAAAAAAAGAATGCGCATGTGTGTGGCGGATGCGCCCGGTCCGAACCCACTGTACTTCAATTACACATGACTTGGCAAGGATACTTTAAGTTCTTATTTAGAGCATAGAGATACGCTTAACAATTTTTAAGATTGTCTTTTATTAAAAGAGGTGCAGAAAAATATACAGAAAAATATATTAATAAAGAGAGACAAATATATATAACCGTAAATTAAAGAGGAATAAAAAAGAGTACTTAACAGGGTTTGAGTTCTGATAGCATCCAGCTCAATAAACAAAAGATGGATCTGAGTGGCTCTTCTCTAAGCAAGGCTTGCACAGATTCTTTACAAATGTTAAATGGGAACTCTCCTGGGATGTTACTAACTTCTTGATGTTGCAGGAGTCCCTCTACTTGATGTTAAAAGAAGAGTCTCTTTAGCTGCCTCTGCAGAATCTTTTTGTCAGCCATCTAGGGTGTGTCAAAGAGTCAGCCCATAAGGCAGTGCTGGGGAGGGGGAGCAGGAGGGCTAAACCTTTACAATGTTCTCATCTGCTCTTCTCAAACTGTTAAATTTTATATCTAAGATTATAGTGGAACATGGATACACCATACCGCCTGACAACCCTTAAATTATTATGCATCATGAAAGTAGCTTTACATTAGGACTAAACTTGGCATACATATGAATTATGGTTGGGCCAGAAGTATTAATGGGGCTGGTCAAGCTTCTGACCATCATAACTTGTCCATTCTAGGTATGTATTTTTTTGTCCTGACAAGACACAGCTATTTGTGCAATTAATTTTACAATATCACTGTCCCATTCCAAGTTATGAAATTGGGGTGATATTGTAAAGTTCAGTTAATGGCCTAGGATGAATAAAAGGTTACCTGGGTCATTATCCTTACCAGGTCCTCTTGTGTTTACCTCAACCTGTCCAGTGCTAAATTACTAAGGGAATTTAGCTGAGCTGGGCAAAACCAATACCATGGTATTAGCGATTTATGACCTGGATCATAAAAGAGTAATTTAAGCTGATCCACACCAGGTCTATGGGAAACTCTGGACAAACAATCAGGTATTAGTGCTTCACTAAGAACTATCAAGATTACAGGCCCAGATTAACAGATATTGTTCCTGGAATTTGAAGATGTCTGGCAAACTGAGGGCAGCCAGAGGTCACTAAAACTGAATGGAAGGCTGCATTTGTTCCAACATGAGGGAAAACAGAATGTTATATTAATAGTGATAGGCGCATACCTCATTATCATTACAATGTGCAGTACAACTTCATAGTGAAGGTCATAAACCTTAACCTTTGGACAAGGTTGCCAGTTGATCTAAGATCTGTAGAAGAAGCCAGTTGATCTAAGATCTGTAGAAGAAGCTATGGAGAAAGGGGTGGTGGGGAGCAAGGGGGGATTGTAGCCTTATATTGCATAAAAGTATTGTTATTCTTTTTAATTTGAATTGTCAAAGGCCCTTTTTATCAGTGTTAAGCACTATTTTAAATAACATGAACAACCTTTGACATTTTTTTTTCAAATGGTACAGATTAAAAAATAAAAATGGTATATATTAATTATGCTTGGTATTCACCATACCCTAGTAGTGCAAAGATCTGTGTTTTTATTCCCTGCTCTGACATGTTTCCACTTGGAAATAAATGGCTTGATAATTTTAATTGGTGTCTGTATTAAAAAAATAAGATTTGCAAGCACATTTTCCACAGGTGCTTGAAGGAATGATGTTATTCTAAAATGATGAATAAACCCTGTCTGTTTTCTTTGGATCTTCATTGGAAGCTATGACACAAATAGTTTCTGTTGAATAAGCCAGTGCTGTTCCATACAGTTCCTTACAGTAGAAGGCTTTTTGGTTCTTTTTGTGTTAACATAGGCTGAATAGATATGCTAGTATGTAAGTAATCATAATGATTACTTATACTAGTTGTTATTTATATTGTTATTGTCATTATATATTCTTAGCCACTGTAACATCTACATTCCTATTACTTTATTTTATATTGTGTATTTTATGGATGTTTTTTCTCTTTAAGATGTTGTACATCTTAAGTATCATTTCCTATTGATTCTAAGCTATGATGAGCAGCACAGCAACTTGTTTTATTACATTTAAGCCTCATTCAGATAGAGCATACATATCTGTCAATGCGTCGCACATGCCAATAAATGGGCCGATCCCAGGAGGGACAGGTGCTTTGTGTAATTGCATGCAATTAGACAGAGTACAGCCGCGTCCTCCCATAGGGAACAACAGGCAGCTCTATGCAATTACATGTAGCACCTGTCCCTTCCGGGGCCGGCCCATTTTCGGGCATGTGTGCCGCATTGACATGTACGCCACATCTGAATGAGGCCCTAATGACCTGGTATTTTTGCATTGTTAAAAATATATTATTATTATTATTATTATTTTATATGCTTTAAGGTTTTCTGGACCCAAGCCTAAGAATCTAGGTAACAACACAAAGCTTGTAGAATGGCTACCTCAAAATGATTTACTCGGTAAGTAAATACTTAACAGCATTATTTTTATGTTTGACGCCCGCTGACCCATCCTCACCTGCCGAACACACGCCGCAAAATGACCTGTATCACAGATGCTGGCAAAAAGTAAACAAATGAGCGGGCATTTCACCCCTGGCTCCGCCTATTTGTTTTGAGTTGGCCATCACCTCTTATATGGGTTGGCCAAATGAAAACAGCTGGGCGGAGCCAGCCATGATGTCATGGCTGTCTCTACCCAGTTGTTGTCATTTAATGACAGTCCAGTGTCCTCAAATTACCTGAGGACGCTAGGCTGTCATGAATAACAACTGGGCAGAGCCAGCCGTGACATCATGGCTAGCTCCGCCCAGTTGTTTACATTTGCAGGGAGAACGGTCTGCCTGCAGACCGTTCTCCCTACTTCGGCTGTGACTATTGTGAATAACCCGTACAGCAGCCCTTCGGCTCAGCTGAACCGGAGGGCTCCAGCGACCGAAGTGAGCCGAAGGATTAGCCGATGCTTAAAGTTAATCCTTTGGCTCCTTCGTGAATAACCCTCTAAAACTCTTAAACATTAAGGAACGGCATTTGAAATGGTTTAAAAACCTTTTGACTTTAATATACCCAGCCAACTAGATTTTCAACAGGGACGGCCAGTAACCTCTGTTTCTTACATGGAATGTTTTTATAAGTATACTTTCCACTTTGCCTTTCCGTACAACAACCTATGTCAGGTTGTTATTACTAGATGAAAGTAGTCACTCGCACTCCATGATATTAAAGTCAATGCTGTTTATTGACTGAGATAACACACATCTCCTTAGCAAAGGAGATGTGTGTTATCTCAGTCAATAAACAGCATTGACTTTAATATCATGGAGTGCGAGTGACTACTTTCCTCTATCTAAATTTTTACGGAGGCATCCGTTGTCACTACCGCACCCACCCAGTTGGATTTGGGTTTTTGTCCGGTCAGGAGTGCGATGGGACAGGAGGATTAAGGTTGTTATTACTGTCTGCTTTCCTAGTTGGTAGATTTCATTGTACTTCCTGTCCTAATGACAGGGTGTTACAGGGACAGAAATTGATGGGAAATATCTCATCTAGAATAAAGTTAACAAAAAAACTTTTTTAGGTGAAGTGGAAAAAGGATTAAGCATTTATTATGCTTTCACGGCTGCCTGTATCTTCCTGTGTTGGTGACAACCATATTCCTCATTTTAAGTCTTGGTGTCACAGGCACAGAAAATCAATAGAAATATCTCCAATACGGTTACAGACAGACAGCTTTTCCCCCTCTATCCCTTCCCCACTCTACCCAAAACTAAAGCATTGTTTTTGTGTTAGGTGGAAACATTTAATGAAGGGTCTTGGGGTCAACTGAAATATTTTCAAAATGAAGCTAGATTGCATCAGCTCATTTCCACCATGATGGTAATGCTATGGATATGGCCCATACCAATAACAATATAGGTACATGATGGCAAATGGAATTATACAATGCTTTCTGGTGACTTACAAACTAATTATGCTGATGAGCTTCAGAAGCAAAAAGATGTGAGTATCCATATGGTCCCTAATCCTGCCCCTTGACACATTGACTGGTATGTAGAATAGGATCATAGGAAGCACAAACTAGTATAAATGTGGCAGCAATTTTATTGAGTGAGTTCCATTGCTTCATTGTCATGTATCTGGTCACATATATATATTTTACCATGCAGCTTATTGGCCTTCCTTACTGATCATGTTGAATGATCTTCTGGGCCAATTAAGAACAAGTTTTCTATTTTTAATTTTTTTTAAAATTTAAATACATAAGGCCCAATTCACTAAGAGACCAGATTGGGATAAGGATACCTAGTTTAGAAAAACTGGCACATATTTTCAGCCAATGAAATTCAAAATGCAGCTTCTTACCCTTTTGTAAAGTTCTGTGAACTGGACTATACTATTTAAAGCTATCAAAGTATAGTGAAAACAGAAAGAAACATGTATGTAATCCACTTATTTGATTTCTTATTCACCACCTTTTGCACCCACCCAGATGATAGGAATATCTACAACTATCTGTAAAAAAATAAGTCAAGGCAACTGAACTTGCTGTATTTTTCTTGAAGACGTTTCACTGGTATTTCACATGGTATTTCAACAAAAATAGAGCAAGTCCAGTTGCCTTGACTTATTTTTTACAGATATACCATGACCTGGATGAATGAGAACCTTCACAGACAATATCTACAACTGTTTCTGAAACTATTCTTCAGACAGATGTCAGACATGAACAATTACAGATGATCAGGATATCAATCAGTATATTGAGAATATGTGAAGCTAACCTTATTTTATAGGAACAAACACCATGGATGTAAATAAAGATAACTGTATTTATAGAAAGCAGTTATTTTATAAAGCATTTAAATTGCGTTATAGGTCATCCAAAAATCAAGACATTTCTCAGTCATGGAGGACTAAATGGTATTTTTGAAGCTATATACCATGGAGTGACTGTAGTAGGAATACCATTGTTCGGGGACCATTATGATACTATGACCAGAGTACAAGCTAAAGGCATGGGCATCCTCCTGGAGTGGAAAAGAATGACAGAGGATAACCTGTATAAAGCTCTTTCAGATGTTATTTATAGCCGCAGGTAAGCAAATTAACCTGTCTATTTGAAAGAAAGGCATTGACATATAAATGCCAATTGCAGCCAGAATGGATAATTGGTCTTCAAACTGCTTTATCAGTAAAATGTTATTTTCACCATGATGCCCCGATTAGATATACGAAGACAGTATATGGTTGATTTGGTAAAGACATAGTAATTGTTCACTAAGCAAAATAAATGTTCTGTTTGTAAAGTGACTGTAGACTGGGTTTAGTAAATAAGATGCATCTGTGCTCACATTGTGCTCACTTTAAGCAAACCAATGCTAGTACAAAAGCTCTTTCTTTAATGTCCCTCACCTGGTTAGGCATTCTGAGTGAACACAGGTTCACCTTGTTTACTCTCATTCACTTTCCAAAATGAACGGCCTCTACTACTTTAGTGAACCAACCACTATGTATTTCATATTGTTACTTTACCACAAAATTGAATTATAAATTTAAGGTGGCACTGAGGCCAGACCAGTTTTGCAATTTTCACCTTTTTAACTATTTTCACTTACATCTTACCCCCCTCCCCGAACCATATATTTTCTGAAAGTACAGTAGTTTCCATGATAGTTGCACAAATGTTTGTCAAAAGCAATATTCTCAATAAATATATGCTAAAATCAACATTAGCCTATACAAACACAGCATAACTTACACAATCCCTATGAAATCTAAAGATTAACACTTTATTGAGTTAATAAATAACGGATATTTGTAAATTTAAACTTGTGCCATTTTGAAAAGTCTGATCGCTCACTCACTGTCCTAGTATGCTCACTTCTCCTGTCTTCTCCAAACCCTTCACCCTTTTGTGAATAGCCATGTATGTGTTTTGTGTATGGTTTTTTGTATGAGGTTATTTTTTTATGTAAAGCAATATGTTATTTATTCATTTTTAATTAAGCACCATCACCAGGGGATGGCAAGCACATCAATTGTGACAGGTCTTTCCTTGACAAATATCAGCGGTCTGAATTTATCATAACTGGGGCAGACAAAATCTGGAGCAGTTGTCCAGGGCAAGCAATCAGCTTCTCTCTTCAGTTTGTTCAGTTAAGATTTGAAAATGAAAGAGAGAAGCTGATTGGTTGCCATGCACAACTGCTCCAGATTTTGTTTGCTCCAGTTTTAATAAATTCCCCTCATTATATTAGGAGATCTAAATTTCCCTGGCATTAAAAGCTATAGAAAATATTTAGTTTAGACTAGATTGTTTTCTCTTAACTATATATATTTACTTTGTCACTTCAGTTATCGAGAACAAGCCACAAAGCTATCTAACATTCACAAAGATCAGCCTGGCCATCCTGTCAGTAGAGCTACTTACTGGATTGACTACATTCTTCGACACAATGGAGCAAAACATCTCCGAGCTGCTACCTATGACATCTCTACTTATCAGTACTTCTTGGTTGATATTGTGTTAGTTGCAGTTGTCATTGCTGTTTTAGCCTGGTATGCCTTTTCAAAAATTGTAAAGTACATGCGGAGGAGCAGAAGTGCAGAACACAGTGCTGCTAATGGAGTCTACCATAATGGTTTAGCAAATGGCAAGCACAAGAAAAATGGGCACATCAAGCATAAGGAAAAAGTGAAGTGAACAATGGGATCCCAATTTATACAATTTAAAGGAGCCACTGCACCAAGTCTAACTTTCTTTTCATAATACTGGATTCTCCGCTGCATCATGGAATATATCTGCGTTAAAGGCCTAAGCAGTAAGGAACTTAAGGCCATTTATTTCAACCCTTATTTATTATAATCCTTGTTCTTTATTTACCCAGTTTAAACCTTTCTCTGCACTGAAAGACTTGAAGCGTATCGCTATTAACACTTCTAAAGTGCCTCTAAAAGTACCATCAACATTTCTTAACACATTTCAGTCTTATTTATGGAAGATCTCAGTATAGCATTTTTTTTGCATCAAACTTGACCATATAACCCCAATGTCATTTCTGAAAGGCAGCAGCACTCACTTTGGAGAAGCACTCACCTTTTGCTGGGCTCATGTGCTTTTAACAATCCTACAAAATATGGAAGAAATAAAATAAAATAATAACTGTGTGACCATCCCTGCCAATTATGTACACAGCTGTCAGTGGTGGGGGGTGATACCTGGAATGCCTTCCTTTGTCTCCCAATGATCTTAAAGTAGTTCAGGTTCAGGCAATAAGTAAATCGGCTATTTTTCAGTGCTGTAAACAGGTGTCATGCGGTTCTGTGTGGTAAGACCTAAGACAGTCGCTTCAATTTGCAGTCGCTTCATAATTAAAGCGCCGGTATCTGTTTTTTTTGGTTTTGGCACTGATACCGATACTGATATAATTACCGGTCAGGATGCAACGATACCGGTTCTTCGGGAACGAGTACCGATATTTATCTTTCGGTACTCGCCAATACCAAGTGTCAATACCAGTACTTCCGCTAGCATGGAGCCAGCTTCCCTCGCAATCAGGAAGCCAGGCGACTTGTCATTACCCACTGCCCAGCTTCTTGATTGCCCAGGAAGCCAGATCCATGCTGTTTTGGCTGACCTATTTGGCTGCCTATTTGGCTGGATCATGTTGATTGGCCCTTAAAGCCAGCTTCCCATCAAATTAGCTTGGATCCAGCTTCTCGGCCAATCAGGAAGCTGGGAGGTGGGTCATTCTCTATGAAGTGAAACCCATCCAGTTGTCACTGGAACAAGTGACTACATTCAAAGATTTCCTTTCTGTTCCTGTTCTTGTGACAACCCATCAAAACAAAACAAATGTTGTGTTTGGTTGACTTTAACCTCTTCGCTGCTGGAAAGTCATGCTTTCTTCAGGTCCCTTGGGCAGGGGGAGATTTGCAGATCAGGCTTGCCTATTTCCCCCCTGGATCTGACACTTTTTTGTTTCTCCTGGCTAAACACCTCTATGACAGCTTCTTCTTCTTCCTAAATGGAAATCATCTAAACTGCAGGATCCCCAGGATAAACAGAGAGATGAGGCAGGGGTGCTGCTTTACTCACTACTTTTGGGATTTTATTTTTCCTTTGAGAGTTTTATCTGACAGCTGGCACAGTCTAAGGCTTTGGAGGTAGGGAGGGGGACTCTTTAATTGCTGGAGTCACAAATGAAATGTGATCACTCTTTGTTGACCCAAGCTAATTTCTGGTAGCAGACAAGGGTAGAGGGGGTTAATGATCACTGCTACACATGTCATTTATGACCCCAGGCCGGTGCTTAGAGCTAGTCTGCTGAGTCTGCCCTTACTGCTTCTGATGACGATGTGCTCTCCAATGGACTCCCAGAAGAAAACTATTTTCCCTGTCCTGTGAAGTCTTAGCAACTCCCCGCAGACTATTTGACATCTGAATCTTTCTCTCACCTATGCCAGCCGCTACTTGAATGGAGATCTTCTACTGCTGCCTTCTGGGATTTGGACTAACTCATGGTGCACGAGAAGAAGGGAAGATTTTCTTCTGCAGTGCTGACTTAACTTCTCTCTACGTCATCCTTCCTGGTCCCTCCTTACTGCCTCCCAAAGGCCCTGGAGCATGGGCACCAGCTGCAGGTCCGCCCCTTGTATGACTGATCCACCAATCTAATGTCATCCAAATACTAGTGTTATTTGAACATTAGCATATATATATATGTGGACATTTGTTTTCTTTTCACTTGTCATATCTCAACACATCAAATTTATATTTATTAGATACATTTTATTCTAATTACTTTCAGTACAATTCATTAATAAAGATACATTGTATCCTTTGTGTGGGTAATATATGTACAGTCGTATCTGACTCTTGGCAGTTCTGTAGGTTAGCTTTTTAGGCACCATGTCTGATATACTTGAGAGATTTTTCCCCACAGAATGTTCTTGTCAAATTGTGTACCATGTAGGTTTCCAGGTCTTTGCCGTGTAATTACACGGCCATGGCTTTGGAGTATGGAAGGAACCAGAGTACTTAAAGGTAACCCATGTGAACACAGGGAGAATGCGTGCACTTCATGGAGATAGTGTCCTTGACAAGATTCAAACCAAGGAACCCAGTGTTGTGCCACTATAATTTTATATCTTACATAGAAACAACTATTTTTAAATGATGTACACAATATCACACCTTCAGAGTTACTTAATAAAATGGTTAATTGCTGTGGCGATGTTCAGTAGCCCATAGCAATTAATGAGATATTATCTTTTATCTGATCTGTATACAGTAAAGTGACAACTGACTGTTTGCTTTTGGTTCCTATACATGTCACTGATATATTTTGCAGCTTTTAATGTGAACCTGTGCCCAGACAATGCGCATTAAAGCTTTTTCATATTCTGAACAAGCAGTATCAGCACTTTAAAACAAGCCCCCACTCACCTCTTTAGTTGTAGCCATTGTGGAGAAATTCATCCTCAAATTCACAACAGCCTTGAAATCATAGCTTGTTTCCCTTATTTTATGAGGAAATCAGAATCTTGGCAGCCTGCCAGCTTGTAATGTAAACCGACAGCAACTGCTCCCAAGCTGCTAGAAACTGACTAAGCCCAACTACAAAGTCTTTGTTGTGATCTTTGTTGATGAATTACTTCACAGCACATGCAGCTATAGAGGTCAGTGAAGCTATTTTATAAATTGTTAAGTGTATGTAAAAACATTTGTGGCCAAAGTCTGGGTACATTTTTTCCCCACTCATTTGTGGATACAATCTTTTTGACTCTAGAGATTAGTAAATTGATTTATTGGTCCACTGCAGATAGATTGGATTAAGACTCATCAAGCGAATCTCATGTTTTCTGTATGAATCACAGTTTACCCTGATGCATTTTCAGGACAGATGGTGAGTTTCCATTTGCAAAGCATGTGACTCATATTTGCTGGATCCATAGAGAATTATGCATCAATTTGACCATCGGAATAGACACAAATTGCATGTATACAGAAGCCTTAGCAGATATTCAAATTTCCGTTAAAACCGGCCATAGGGGAAAGTACAAACCCTCTCTGCTGATTCTAAATGCCCTGCCCCTTAAATTATAAAATATAAAAGTAGTCTTTTGTATTGTATGCAGAAAATGCTGGTGGTGACTGTTGATCATATGCCTAAGCATTTTTTCAAATGAGTAGCTGGAAAGAAGGTTGGTAGTTGCAGTTGGAAGGGAAAGTGTTTTAGGTAAGTATTAGAATGCTTTTAAACATGGGACTTAATAATTAGGCTGGTTGTATTTTATTATAGGTTCCATTTAAAGTAGGCAGAAAAGTGCATGCAGCATGCTCAGTAGCAGCAACTAGAAAACATTAAGTGGTAGGCTGTGATATGATTCCCTCAGCCTATATTAGTGACTGATCAGTGTGGGCACATATATCACAAATTGGTTTTGTGAGCAGGAAAGTCAATGTCTGTCTAAGCAGCTTGAGAATATCAGACCTGTTCACTAGTACAGACATGTCAAAAGAAAGAAAATAAAAGCTTCCAGTAACTGTCACGTGGAGCTGAATGCCAGATAACCTAAAAAAAAAACTACCTTTGCAGTGTGTTGTCCCCCTCAGTGTAAGGCTGTAATGCTTGTTTTTTCCTAGGGTACCAGGAAAAAGGAATCTTTACTTACTTATCCTTCGCCTCTGCAGGCTCCTCCCTCCATGCAACTGGTCCCCAGAAACCTCTTTTCTTCATTGCTCTGGCTGATGGTTGAAGCTGTGATGTCATCACATACAATGCAGGACCAACAGTCCTGTATGGTAGGTGAAGACGCCAAGGCAGGCACACAACACAAAGCGTCAGAGAAGAGGTGAACATCGGCTGCCAGGGCAGTGAGGGATAAAGTAGGTAAAAGTCCTTTTTCTTGGCACCCCATGCATTTAACTCTTTTGCAATGCGGGGGTGGGGGTGGGGGTGGGGATGGAATGGGGTACAATGCAATTATATTTTTTCCAGTTCCCCAGAGTTCAAAAAAGCTGTAATATGTGCACATACATACTGCAGTTTTAATTGTCCTCTGCTATATTTTCATGCTGGGTCATTCTGAATGGACAAAGCTCCAAGACCCACTTTCCAGCTTATCCCCCTCACATTCCTGATGGGCCATGACCATGATGGGCTGCATGTTGCCAAAGCAGAGGGAAATTAACCTCTAGGTGCCTGCACTTTACATCTGCTGATGGCTTTCTTTTTTAGTGACAGTCACTTAAATAGAGATTCAATACAATCAGTTACTTTAACTCTAAATAATAAAATATACAAGGCACGTTAATAAATATAGTATAGCAACACATTCCTATCTCTGTCTGGTATATGTAATTAACTGTTGGAAACATAAACCTGATTTACAGAAAATGGTTACACCTGTGTATTGTAAGGCAGATATTTCACTGTGAGTGATTGGCATCTGCCCATGCTTGAGCTCTTTATGGTCCTATGTGCAACACGCCGAGTGGCTAAATGTGAAACACTTCCTATTATCCATAGAAAAGTAAATGATTCACAATAGTCAAATGGAGAATTTACCACAAGTAGGAAAATGTGTAATTATAATTTCCAAGAGTCGGAAGCACTCATAACCACCCCTAGGGAAATCTTACATAGTATGATCCTCACTTGACCATCGCAGGTGGTGCTTGTAGCGGGCTGGGTTTGGGCCATGTATAGCTACCCTAAAACTAATCATTACATCAGTGAGATGTGCTCACGGAGGTGCTTAAAAAGTGGTCTAACCAATACATAGACTATGCAGCCTTCTTTCAAGACAACTTTTTATGATTTATTTATTTCTTTCAAAGTAGACTTTGCTTGGTTTATGATTTCCTATTTCTTTAAGAGTATTGTTATTGAGACTGAGCATATGTTAGAGGAATACATATTATGGAAGTATTTTCTTACATAGTATGAAAGTACTATAAATGATAACAGTATCCCAGTGTGTTTACCTTGAATGGAAGCTGCACATAATGCTTATGTGTATGTAC